ACAAAAACAAACTACAGGAGAAAATGGCTTGGTAAATTATAGTACCTGCTGAAGATAAATTAGTCTTAAGCTGTTAATAATAACAATCATGAAGACCAGGTAGTGATACAGAAGAATGTCATGGTATTAAATGAAAAGCAAAATACAAAAGGATTTGTGTGCTATGATCATCAGCTTCGTAGGCAGCTATGTCTCCGTATAGACAAGAGCTGAAAGGTAATATTCAGACATAAAAACAGCATTGGAGGTATTATGATTCAAGATGTTTATACTTATATTTTTTAACATTTCCTTTAATGTTTCACTGGCTTTTCTATTACATGCAATTTTTAAAATCCTTTCCGAAATAAATTTGGATTTCTGAGTTTTTCTAGAATTCTCACTTAAAAAGAACAGAAACCCAGGCTCTTCCCATCTTAAATGAACAATCCTCTACTTGAAAAAGGAAAGCAACATAATATTTCCAAATGTCCAAACCTAAAGATGGAGAGCAAGCAAACAAGGCTGGATCCACCCATGCTGTGGTTGCTATCTGAAGGACTGCTGGAACTCAGGAAAGCAGAGAGGAGAGGAAGAAAGAGGGATCACAGGGCCCTCTTCAGGGTGGAGGTGTGTTCATAAGGTCCCCTGGAGAAAGGTCTGGGGTACCAAAAAGGTCAGCACATTTACCTGTCTCGCCAGGTTGCTGCCTGGCATTATCTCCCTTCTGTTCATTTCACAGGTATTTTCTGAGGCCCTGACTCTCTGGGGGAGCCCAAATGCCTGAGATGTATGTCACAAGGCCACATTCTACTTCAGAAGAGATGTCACAGAGAAGCAGGCCTCTCAGAGGTCATGTCTCAGGGTCATGTTCCGTGTGCCTGAGTGGAGAAGGACAGGTCACCAAATGCCTAATATCTGGATGCTACTCAACTTTGCAGATACAGAACTCAAACTTCCTTTGCTCTCTCAGAGCTAGTCAACCTAGGGAAACTGACCTACACTGATGAATAGCACATGAGCCTTATGTTAAAGCTATAAGATTGCCTTGGGAATGAAAGGAAGCCTGCTAGAAACCAGAGCCAGACAATCGCCCAGGGCATGCCCTCTTCCCTGGAGATCAAACCACCAATGAGAAGAATGTTAGGTGAACACAGAACCCAACACAGAGTGCTGATCCACTTAGGGAGAATTTCCATTCAGATGGATGGCCTGAGGGTTAGGATGTAGCTCTCTCTATACCCATGGAACCTGGCAAACCTACCCAGAAGTAGTGCCCATGACCCAGAATCCTACCTCTACCCCCTGGACAGTCTTGGTTCTTGCTCTAGGTCCTCCTTACAGGACACTTGATGGTTACCTTTCATTCCCAGAGCTCTGCCCAGCTTACCTCCATTCACAGACCATGTTCCCAAGGGTAGCTCAGTTTATCTCTTGTGCACTTACTGGCCAGATTTGATTCAAATAGGGGGTGATCTCTTCTTGGGCCTTACCCCCCACTCTCAAGGCCCCTCTTTCTGCTGGTCACAGGCAGTATGTGATCAAGGACTGAAGGACTGATGAAGACCATAATGCTGTGAGGTCAGAGAGGGAGTGGTCACTGAGGTAAAAGCAGATCTGTGGACTGCAGAGTTCTGGGAAGAAGCAGAATATAAGGTGGGCCTTAAAGGTTGAGGAAGATTCAGGATATCTGATCAGGAAGAAGATGAGCACTACAGGCATGAGAAATAGCACCAGCACAGGCAAAGAGGCAGAAGAGATGTATCAAGTCTGGCTGCAGTAGAAAGCTCGGGTAAGAGGAGAAGCTGAAGTTGGTTTGGAAAGGCAAGTGGGCTGTATTCTGTTTGTAATAGGGAGCTATCCAACTTTTTGATCAAGTAAGTGAAAGGATGAAAGTTACGTTTTGGGAAAACTAACCTGGCAGAGGTGTGAAGGATGAAGGGATTGGAGGAGAGTTAGAATGCAGGGTGACTCAAGGTAAGAAACATGATCAGGATCTTAATGAAGGCAGCGGCACAGGGGCTTAACAGGAGGAAGCAGATTTGAGATATAGAACAGAAGGATATGGTGACAGTGTGTATTAGGGGAAACGAAGGCTTGGGAACAATTTTCAGGTCTCCGTGACATCACTATCTAGGTGGACAAGGGTGCCATTCGCCAAGATATAGTATAAAGGAGAAGGCACCAGTGAGCAAGGAAGATTGAAGTCTTTTGAACACGTTTACCAAGTTTGTCTGTAGAATGTCCAAGGAATAATAATCAGAGATTAAGTAAATACATGAGTGTAGAGCTCAGCAATAGAGATGTGAATTGAAGCCACCCAAAATAAGCTCACCCAAGAAGATTGTGTACTGTGAAAAGTTAAGAGAGGCAAGGACCAGAGGCTGAAAAAGATCAACACTTAGATGGGGAATAAAGTTAGAAGAACCTGAAAAGACTGAGAAATGGCCAGAGAGTTAGGAAAAAGGCAAGAGTTTCTATAAAGAAGTGAAAGAGGTGAAGTACAACAGAGAGAACAAGTGGTAAAAGGAATGGGAAGAGTTGATTCAATTTGGTATTTGTTTAATTGATGATTTGAGTAAGAGTGGTGTGCCTGAGGGCTAGATTGCAGTGGATGAAACAATGAATGGGAAATGAACAAATGGAGAGAATTCAGAGTACTCTTTTGGGGAGCTTGGCTGTAAAGGAAAGAGCAAGGATGGTAGGTAGAAAGCAGTCAGGGAGAATTTAGGGTATTTTAGCTAAAATATATTTTAGCTGACAGGAACGAGTCAGGGAAAATACAACACAGAGTAATTGAAAGAATGGGATTTTGGACACCGGTTGAGACTTGAGAGATGGCTCGTCCACTGAGTGAGGTGAGAGTAAGTACATTCAGTCACTTAATCATTTTTTGAACATGTACTACATGCCAGGAACTGGGAGTGCGTGGGTAGAATAAAATAATCCTGAACCATTAAGGAATTTGGTCGGGTAGGGAAGACAAATGTGGTCGACAATTAAATGTACTAGGTTGTGTGGCGCACAAGTGGGGAAAGTAAGCAACAATGACTGAATGGGTCAGAGAAGTTTCACAGGGTCGAGGTTAAGCAGGGGTTCTCTGGTCCAGGAGAGAGGATCAGGCCATGTCAAGTAGGTTCAGGTGAAAATTAAAATTTGGTGGTTAGAAAAAGTATTTAGAGTCTGGATTAAAAGGACCATAAAGCAACCAGGTGTATACAGGTCCCTGAAGTATGAAGGATTGTTCAAACTGGGGATGCCCAGGATGATAGCACAAGGGCAAAAGTGAAATTAAGACCGAGCACCCCCTCCGGAATGTGGGTGCGCAGGTGCCGGTGGGTGTTACACACCTAGGGAAGGACTTCAAAGGGAGCAGAGCGAGACACCCGGTGGGCACACTGAGGGTCAAACAGTGCCTCGCGAATCCTCACTGCGGCCAGAGGACAAGCAAGCAACAGCTACCGCCAGGGCCGAGCAGACCACAAAGAACGCGAGGCGCGGGGGACGGTTCAGAACTGGGGCGTTTGGCGAGGAGCTGAGATACGATGGCCTAAGCGGGTTCCAGGGCCAAAGCGCCGTGGCGGCGTGCACCACACAGCGCCCCAAGCCGCGGATTCCGCGACAGCTTTCAGCCTCTGAGCCTGAAGGAAAGAGGACTGCGCGGACAGGGTATCTCGGCCACCACCGCCACCGGGAAGGAGAGGACACCCCACAGAAAGAGGCGGACGGCCGGGCTTGCAGTCACGCGAGACCAGCAAGACCCGCGAGACGCAAGAGACCCCGCCCTAAGCCCGGCCTCCATGCCGGAAGTGAGTCTTGTTGGCTCCGCCCCCGTTATCGGTACCTCGCGAGATTTCGGAAAGGCCTACCTTTTCCGTCTGGGCTGCCGACATGGTAGGTGGTTCTTTTTGTGCGTCCGCTTCGTTGGTTGTGCAGGCCGCGAGCCTTACGCGCGTTGCACCCCAACCACCTACCCCTGATCTTCGCCCGGTTTTCCAGGCCGCGCATGGCGAGCCTCAGGGCAGGGTGGCCGGCATGGGCCCCGTAGTCTGGGGCCGCGTGTTCTGCCCGGGGTTCGGATCTCTGAGACACGCGGGCTCGCGCGTTCGGGCGCCGCCCTGATGAGGCCGCCTGGCCCTGGGCCAGGCCGTAACATCACCTTTGCTGAATGTGACCCGAAGCAGATCCTTGATCCCCCGAGCCTACAGACCCTTCGCAGACGGTCAGATGCGCTCTCTGTCCCACCTCCCTTTGGCCTTATCACCAAGCACCTTTTTCCATACAGCCATCCAGACTGAGGAAGACCCGGAAACTTCGGGGCCACGTGAGCCACGGCCACGGCCGCATCGGTAAGTGCCGGCATCCCATCCTGGTCGGCTTTGAGCTCTCCCCGCCGGGTGCTTACCTAGCCGGGAAGTGGGTAGGGTGGAAGTGGGGGTTCGCTTTGTGCGGTCAGTCGGATTGAATTTGACTGTTAGCGGTTGATTTTTTTTTCTCTTGGAATTCTCTGCCGTACTCCACTTTTAAGAGAATTTCACATCAATTGGGGCGAGGAAATTTGGGGCAAAGTGTTAATTTGTCGAAGGCACGGAGTACTGTAGATAGTGCTGTGATGTGGAACATTACAAAGAGATGTTTCACCCGGAAACTTGAGGAAATAGCTGTGCTTAAAGAGGAATTGTAGACTGGGAACAAGGTAAGAAATACGCAGAATTGTGGGAAAAGGAGAATTGAGAAGCTGGAGAAGGCTACGTTAGCCATGTAGCTTTGTATTCTTGCAGGCAAGCACCGGAAGCACCCAGGAGGCCGGGGTAATGCTGGTGGCATGCATCACCACAGGATCAACTTTGACAAATAGTGAGTGTTTCTTGGCCTATACTTGGACTGGCACTGACAGTTTGGAGTTAGGGGCAGAGGGCTGGCTCAGACACCTTCAGTGGGAAGAAAGCCTCTTAACACTGAAAAACCTTGTGTTGCTGCGTTTTACGAAGTTAACATTTGATGCGAACTGAGAACTTGTCATCGAGGCTAGAGTCACGCTTGGGTATCAGCTTATTGCCTTAGTGTGCTAGAGTCCTCGAAGAGTAATTGCTGACCTTATTCACTGGCTGTGACCCTCATGGCATAGTCAGTCACCGGGTTAGTGACATCAGATTAACTATGAACCTGCTAGATTCACTTATGCCCCCAAATTTGCTTAGAAAATCTCTTATTACAAGAATGTGTAGAATTTCCATAAAATGCTGTCAGGTGATCTGGAAGACCTCTGGTCTTGGCATTGTCTCTGACATTTTTTTTTTTAAAGATACTATTTATTTATTAGAGGGAGAGAGCGCATAAGCAGGGGGAGTGGCAGAGGGAGCAGGAGAAGCAGGCTTCCACTGAGCAGGGAGCCCGATGTGGGACTTGATCCCAGGACCCTGGGATCATGACCTGAGCCGAAGGCAGACGCTTAACCAACTGAGCCACCCAGGCGCCCCGTGTCTCTGACTTTTTCAGTGACTTCTGGTTCCATGAAATAAGGCTAGTCTCCTACTCCTGAACGTCTTTGGTGGCTTTTTTTTTTTTTAAAGATTTGTTTTAGTTCAACAGTGAATGGAGTACCTGCTATGTCACTGTCGTACACCAGTGAGCAATTTACACTATAACTGGGAGAGATGAACTATGAAGATGATACACATCACTTCTTAATTGGAGTCAGGTTATGAACATGATTGCCTTTCTCTTCCTAGTCACCCAGGTTACTTTGGAAAAGTTGGTATGAGACATTACCACTTAAAGAGGAACCAGAGCTTCTGCCCAACTGTCAACCTTGATAAACTGTGGACCTTGGTGAGTGAGCAGACACGGGTAAATGCCGCCAAAAACAAGACTGGAGCTGCTCCTATCATTGATGTGGTGCGATCGGTGAGTGAAGGAGTATTTGTTGACTCTGTGGTCCATGCCTCTCAGAATTCTGGATAATCTAATGTATTTGATCTCCTACCTGGAATCTCTACCCAGTTACCTACTAGACTATTTCATCTTTTGATAGAATTTCCACAGGTAACTCACCAAAATTGAACTGTAGTTCAGTTGTAATTCACACAAAATATTTGAAGAAGAAGAATCTTTCCAATCCCTCATTCATTCAGTTACTTTGTTATTTCTTGAATGTTTCCCAGTCAGTAATCCCATCCCCACAGTTTCTGCCCTGATTTGTACAGGTTTGCATTTCTGGCCTAAGCCTTTGGCAGTATCTCCCGTCAGCTGGCTCTGGTCCCTCTTACACAACCCTGCTTGCAGGAGGCACGGCTCCTGGCCATTTCTGTCCCTTACAGAATAAAATCCTAAGATGTTTGGTTGTTATTTATGGATCTGCGTTATCTGAAAGAGATTTCCGCACACCCCAAAACAGTGATGACAAAGCATTTTTTTTTTAATAAATCTGTTTATTCATGAGAGGCAGAGGGAGAAGCAGGCTCCCCACACTGAGCAGGGAGCCCGATGCAGGGCTCTATCCCAGGACCTTGGGATCATGACCTGAGCCAAAGGCAGACAGACACCCAACCAACTGAGCCACCTAGGCGTCCCGACAAAGCATTTTTGTACGTTTTTTGGAGTCCTTGTGTCAGTTTTACCTCCCATGGGTGTAGAGGTAGTCTAAACCCTAAAGGGGCTTTTGGTTAAGTTTTAAATCCCTTGTCCCAGCCTACTTAACAGTCCTTGAGCAATTTTGATGGTGAGGACCCTCTTGGAACATGGTTGGGAATGTGGTCTGTCTTTTTGCTTATCACGCGGTAATTGAATAGGATGGGGTGGGTGTGCTTTGCTTGAGGCTAGAGTCACATCCTGACACATCTCTTGTCCTGGTGTGCTAGAGTCCTCAGAGAGAATCTGCTGGTCTTGATTCACTGGCGAGGGCAGTCAGTGCCCCCGGTAGTGCCCAGATCAGAAACATGCCCTCCCAGCTCCTAGATGGTGTAGACTGGCAGGCATCTTTCTTCATACCAGGGAGTTGGTATCTGCTGTGGTGTGTATTAAAGTTTGTGTTTTTTTCTATTCCTCTAGGGCTACTACAAAGTTTTGGGAAAGGGAAAACTCCCAAAACAGCCTGTCATCGTGAAGGCCAAATTCTTCAGTAGAAGAGCAGAGGAGAAGATTAAGGGTGTCGGGGGCGCCTGCGTTCTAGTAGCTTGAAGCCACGTTTGGGGGGGAGTTCATTAAATGCTAACAAGTGCTTTTCTCTTCTGGTCTGGGTGTAAATTCTTTAGCACCCCTACCTCCTTACCTGTACATCAGAAACCCACCTAACAGATTCTAGGAGTAAGGGTATGAGGGCCTGAGACCCTCTGCCAACTCCCCTCAGAAAGTGTGAAAGAGAGCGCCAGCACTTAGAGGACTTGGCCCAATACCTAACTTGAACATTTTCATTTATAAAGTGAGAATGATAGCACATGTAGTGGAAAGGCCAGTTTGTACTGTATATTCTGAATTTACAATGAGGGGGAGAACACACCCTTTAACTGTAATATGTGGCTCAAAAGGGGAAAACTCAGGGTTTGTTAGGTTTTGTTAAAGTAAGCTCTCCACCCAACATGGGGCTTGAACTCACGACCCTGATTAAGAGTTAATTGCTCTACCAGCTGAGCCAGTCAGGCACCCCAAAAGGGAAGACTCAGTTTTGATGGGGCACATTCTAAAGAGTGGACAGAGTGATAGGATTAAAGTGATTGTGAAGGATATAATTCCTGAACCTAAAGTTTTTCCTCCTTGACCGCCCCCATTATTTACCATACTGTTCCAGAATCTTGAGATGGGGCCCAGCAGTCTGAATGTTAAACACACCAGGGCTTTTACACATGAAAGTGGTTTGGAATCTAAAAAGCATTTGTCAGGATTTATGTATCCCTGTGCATTAAAGTTCAAAGAACTACATCATGAAATGCTAAAGATTCTAGTCTGAAATGTATTTAGCATAGAATTTGGAAAAAGCTAGAAGCTGGAATTGGGTTTTCTAGGGTTTGTATCTCCTACAAAACCATAATGATGACCAATGCTCGTGTGCAGATAGGACCTTCAGATCTCAGGGTAAATTGACTAACAGTTTTTCTAGTTCTTTCCAAAACAAAGTTTTCTTTGGCCCAAAATAAAAGTTGCTTTCTAGAACCCTGTCCAAAGGAATAGGATGATGCTTAAAATATAACTAGGTTTCGTTTGGCAGTGTTAACTTAGTCCTCTGGGGTGATACATGGGCTGGGAACCATGAGTTTCTATGGGACAAGTTTGTGACAACCTTTAGAGGATTTTGCAGACCCTCAAGTAAAAGGAAACTGAACAGCAAACTTAGCTGATTTGGTTAAGTGCCAGGAAGGTTTTACTCAGTTGGACAAACAAATGAATAATTTGGATGTGATCTTTGATGGGCCTGATGGAGAAAGGTAAAACTGGTTGTCCCTTAGTGTCTTTTGGAGGACATATAATATGGAAGCTGAGGTCATGGATCTGAAATGGGTTGTAGTTGATATTAAGAGAATTTAATGTCTAACTGGTTACAGTTAGACACTGAAGATACAAACATGTAGAGTATCTTAAGATTCAGATGGGGTTTGAGTTTTTGATCCAAACCTTAACAGCTGTGTGTGGCTTAAGCTTAGTCCAATTTTCTCATCTTAATTGAGGATTGTGTGGATTAAGTAAAATGGAAGCATTTACTGAACCTTTTTGACTTATATTGTGAACGATTAAGGGGGCAGACAAATTAATCCCCTTGGTCTGATTAAGTCAAGGCAAAATGATCCAAGCAGAGGGAAGAGCAAACATGCTAACCAGTTCAGAAAAGTTAAACAAAATAAGAATGTAGTTAGGGACTTGGTTACAGTGGGAGTTGGGACAAAGAAAATGGGAATGAGAAAACGAGGAGTAGGATTCAGAAAACCCAATGGACAGGACTTGGCAAGTGGATAAATTGGGGTGGGGCTGACCGCTAAATGGTTAGGCATGGACAGGTGGGATTTAGTGAACCATACGTGAAAACTAGTCCCTTAGTAGCCAGTTTCTTACCCAGCAATTCACTATTAGCATCACTATCCATAAACAGGACGGGGTTGAGTGGGATAATACTCATTCCAATCCTGTATGCTGGTGTTAATATTGCCAAGGAAGCCAGGAGGCAAAGCCATACTTTGATGTTACAAATGAAGGGTGCAGACCTATAGTGACCACTTGGCTTTTTTGATGGGACCAACCACAAACCTTACGTTTGACTTTGTATTTGCGTGAAACGGACCACTGCTGAGATTAATACAGAGTCCACGCTGAGGAAACAACCGAAGCTGCCAAGCTTTGATTAGTCTGTCCTGCAGGCACAGAGGCCCACACTGCTACTGGTCTCTTTAGTGGCTGATACGTGCACAGGGTTAATGGAAGTCCTCACAAAAACGGAGAGCAGAGCTTTGTTAGATGCCCCTGTAACTCCGTGGTCTTCAACCATTTGTTTACCTCTTCAAACCGGTAAAGTCACGTCACCCAGCACATCAGGTTGACATGCTTATTTTCTGTAAGCTTGAATTGCTAAGGATGTCTGTCTGGCTTAATGTACATGTGCTTTAGATACATTTTCATCCAAACCTCGGAGCTGCAGCTCTAACAAGATCAGTTGGCGATATCGGACCCGACCCCATTATCAAAATCCGCTAAATCGAATTTAAGCTTCCAATTCAAATACGCGTATTCTTACTTGATGGCTAAGCCAAACGCAGTCAGCCCCTGGCCTGAAAACAAGCCGAAGGGCGCACCATCGGCGGAAGGCGTGCAGCGTTGGAAGGCGGACGACGAGGATGGCAGCGGCCAGAGCCCTGCAGGGACTGGCGCTCCCGCGGCTACCCCTGTGGTTTACACTGTCCGACCTCTGCGACGCCGTCGCACAACAGCCCTACTGGTCAGCTCCTCTCGCCTCAGGCCCTGAGAACCACTTCCGGAGCGTGTGAGATTCTGGTTCCGGGGTCACGTTAACCTTGCCCACTCCCGCGACCGGAAGCACGCTCGGCGCCGGTTCCCTCTGTGGGCTCAGCCAGTTCCGGAAGGGGCGGGGCCGGACCAGTCGCGCGGCGGAGAGACTTTCCCAGGCGAGGCGGAAGGTTAAACTCGGCCGGCTCCCGGTGGGCGTGGGCT